AGGCAAACACAAATTAGGTAATGACCCACAGGTGGGAGGAATCAAGTCCTAATGAGTAGTAATACAATTAATTCTACAGAAGCTAGGGCCACCTAGTGGCTGGGAGAGTCATTACACGGTATAAGTGTCAGTGCCAGCTAATGGTTGGGGGAGTCATTACAAGCTGGAGCCTTACAGGAGCCCCTCCTCCAGGAACGGCTCCTGACGTTCCCCTAGCTGTGTTGTTGTCCACGGCGGTGGAACTCCCTGATGAGATCTGGGTCTAGAATATCTCGAGCTGGCACCCAAGACCGCTCCTCTGGGCCATAACCCTCCCAATCCACAAGATACTGGGTTCTCCCACGGACCTGGCGAGAGTCCAGTAGTCGGCGCACGGTGTAGGCTGGCTGACCACCAATGATGCGAGGAACTGGAGGGGGTTTCCTGGCTGGGGACAAAGGAGAATAGACAACAGGTTTCAAACGGGAGATGTGAAAGGTGGGATGAATGCGCATGGACCTGGGTAGAAGAAGTCGGTAGGACACTGGGTTGATCCTTTTGAGGACTTTGAAGGGCCCGATGAAGCGAGGCGCTAATTTCCGTGACTCAACGTGCAGAGGGAGATCCTTAGTAGACAGCCACACTCTCTGTCCTGGTCTAAGTGATGGTCCAATTCTACGGTGCTGGTTTGCATGCCTCTGCTGTTGTTGAGTGGTTCTTAGTAGGGCTACTCGTGCTCTGCGCCATGCCCGTCGACACCTTTGGACAAGTTGAGCAGCAGCTGGTACACGGACCTCGGGATCCTGTTCAGGGAACAGAGGGGGAGGAAAACCAAACTGGCATTCAAAGGGGGACATGCCTAAAGAAGAGTGGTGTAGAGTGTTGTGTGCAAATTCAGCCCAGATCAACTGAGAGCTCCAAGCAGTCTGATTGTTAGACACCAGGCATCTGAGAGTCTTTTCAATCTCCTGGTTGACTCTCTCTGAGCCCTCCTCTTCTTGGACGAGAGTTGTCTTTTCCCGTCAACTCTGGACAGTTGGATCTGAAGTGGTCTGGCTTTCCACAGTACAAGCAGCATTTTTCCCTCATGCGTCATTCCCTCTCAGCTTGTGACAGTCTGGCCCTTCCCAACTGCATGGGTTCCTTAACTGAAAGAAAGAGGCATGCTTAAATAGGCAAACACAAATTAGGTAATGACCCACAGGTGGGAGGAATCAAGTCCTAATGAGTAGTAATACAATTAATTCTACAGAAGCTAGTGGCTAGGAGAGTCATTACAAGCTGGAGCCTTACAATATCAGTATTATATTAGTTATTGTCTGTTATTAGATATTTTTTAAATGTTTTGTTCGAGATTAAATATTAAATTTTACATGCTCATTTTCCCATATTTTTACATTTAGTTTGTCATCATCTCAAATAATTGAATGTTAATTGTAATCTCTAGCAAATGTCAAAATAAAAATCAAATTTTTACTGTACATTTATAATGTTGTGATACCTAAATTAACTTATAGAATTTAAAATGACATTAGTTTTTACTATTTATTTTCTATTTATTTAGACAAATATTGATTTTATTATGATTATTATTATTATTACTGTATTATTATTATTCATATTACTATTATTGATAATAACATGGAAATTATTATCTTTAGAATTTTAGTATGCATTTTTGAAGAAAAATATTTTAATAGTAATATGGTGTATTTCTAATGCAATAGTAAATAAATAAATGATGTCTTAATGGAGAAAGTTTTATGTGAGGGTTTGGATTTGAGGTATGGGAATAGAAAATCATTAGCTCAAGTAAAAAATAGCTCAAGTATCATCATGATAGAAAATCACGTGTGTGTGTGTGTGTGTGTGTGTGTGTG